GTATCCCGCTTCCTTGACGACTTTTCCGCCTGGCTGCCCTTCTTCCTCTCCTCTGAGCTACCCACCATCATCCTTGGTGACTTCAGTATCCCTATCAATGTCAACAACCCGGCTACATCCCAACTCCTCCACTTAACCTCTTCTTTTGCACTCTCACAGTGCACACAGTCCTCCACCCACACCAACGGGAACACCCTGGACCTCCTTTTCTCCCGTCTCTGCACCCCCCCACAACCTCACTAACACCCCTTTCCCTCTCTCTGACCACAACCTCATTACGTTCTCCATCTCCCCGTCCTGTAACACCTCCCCCCCCAAACGTCAAACCATCACCAGCTGTAACCTCCACAACCTGAACCCAGCCCCTCTCCACTCTGCAGCTGACCGTCTGTATGACAGTATCCTTCCACTGTCATGCCCTGACCTGGCCACTACTACGTACAACAACTCACTGTCAGCTGCCTTAGACTCCTTAGCACCCCTAACCACACGTAGCATTAGACCTCGACCGCTTCAACCCTGGCAGAACAACCACACTAAAAATCTTAAACGACGCAGTCGCACGCTGGAGCAACTATGGCGCAAAACCAGATCCCCTCTAGCGTTTCTCCCTCTATAAATCTTCCTTCCTCACCTACACCTCCTCCCTCCACGCCGCCAAACAAGCCTACTTCGTAACCCTCATAAACACCCTCTCCTCCAGTCCTCGCCGGCTCTTCTCCACTTTCAAACTCCCTACTCTACCCCCACACCCCAGTACCTCACTCACCTCCCACGAGATTGCCAATTACTTCCTAAGATCAACGCAATCCGTAAGGACATCACCAATGCTCAACCCTACCTCCCCCCACCTTAAAATTAAAAAATTAGTGAAGCGCTTGTATCACATGAATACAATCATGTATCTCCATATAGTGTAATTATAAATCAAAGTGACCACTATATATATAATAAATGTGTGTTGACTCCCTCTAGTGAAAAGAAAAAATAGTGTCAACCAAAATAGCTAAATAACACACATTAGGAAACCATAAATCAAATATAATGAACAGAATATATATATACGTGAAAACAGAATATTGGCCACATACAATGGTGTCTAAATTATACATAAATGATATATGCCATAGGTGAACAAGACAATATCAAAGGTGAAAAAAATATTCCATGCATGTGACTGTGCTTTAAGCTGGAACACACACGTGATCTCCACTTCTAAGTGCAAGTACTCTCCTTCAAATGGCAGCAATTGCCTGCTCACCTCCTTCCTCGACCCACACAGGGCCTCAAAGCAGTTACCACTCAGTGGTGTATTCCTCTGGCAGACTCCTTATTCTCTCCTCCTCTCTTATGCAACTCATAAAAAGACAAGAAAGCCTTCCATAGTGTAGTAAATTTAATAGGCAAAGTTAAAAATTACAAAGTTTTCCACTCACATGCTCCTTTCCATAAAAAAAAAGCGTTTTTCCCAGCCTGTGGGTAGATATGCATGCACCTGGGGGAATCCAATATGGCCACTGTGTCCGGACATACGTCACCAGGAAGTAGACAAACCTAGTTTGTCTACTTCCTGGTGACGTATGTCCGGACACAGTGGCCATATTGGATTCCCCCAGGTGCATGCATAATCTACCCACAGGCTGGGAAAAACGCTTTTTTATGGAAAGGAGCATGTGAGTGGAAAACTTTGTAATTTTTAACTTTGCCTATTAAATTTACTACACTATGGAAGGCTTTCTTGTCTTTTTTTGAGTTGCATAAGAGAGGAGGAGGAATAAGGAGTCTGCCAGAGGAATACACCACTGAGGTGGTAACTGCTTTGAGGCCCTGTGTGGGTCGAGGAAGGGAGGTGAGCAGGCATTGCTGCCATTTGAAGGAGAGTACTTGCACTTAGAAGTGGAGATCACGTGTGTGTTCCAGCTTAAAGCACAGTCACATGCATGGAATATTTTTTTCACCTTTGATATTGTCTTGTTCACCTATGGCATATATCATTTATGTATAATTTAGACACCATTGTATGTGGCCAATATTCTGTTTTCACGTATATATATATTCTGTTCATTATATTTGATTTATGCACTATATATTTAGTTTCCTAATGTGTGTTATTTAGCTATTTTGGTTGACACTATTTTTTCTTTTCACTAGAGGGAGTCAACACACATTTATTATATATAGTGGTCACTTTGATTTATAATTACACTATATGGAGATACATGATTGTATTCATGTGATACAAGCGCTTCACTAATTTTTAATTTTATTTTGCACTTATTGGTATCAGCTAAGTGACAGCAGCTGTATTTTGTCAATTATTCCCATGAGCGCAATCCCTTATTATTTAACCTACCTCCCCACCTTGCCTCCCTCCCACCATAACCCCACCAACTCTCCCCTCCTCTGACCTCGCAACCCGCCCTGCCCCCCACCACATTTAACATCCCGCACACTATTACCTCCCCAACACTCCGCTCCTTCAGCCTTGCCACCACTGAGGAGGTCACCAAGGTCTTCTCAGAAGCCCGCCTCACCACTTGCCCCCTTGACCCTGTCCCCACGCAACTCCTCCGGGCACCCTCCTCCTCCATCCTACGCTCTCTCACCCACATCTTCAATCTCTCCCTCTCTACTGGTGCATTCCCCTCCCCCCTAAAGCACGCGCAGATCACCCCCATACTCAAAAAACCCTCCCTGGACCCCACCGACCTGAACAACCTTAGACCCATCTCCCTGCTGCCATTTACTTCCAAGCTCCTTGAGCGCTTAGTCTACAATCGCCTAAGCGCCCACCTCACTAACAACAACCTCCTCAATCCACTACAGTCTGGCTTCAGTCCCCTACACTCCACCGAAACCGCCCCTACTCAAAATCACTAATGACCTGCTAACCACCAAAGCTAATGGCCACTACTCAGTCCTTTTACTCCTTGACCTCTCCAGGCCTTCGACATAGTTGACCACCCCTCCTCCTTAATAAACTTTACTCCCTTGGTATCAGAGACTCCGTTCTCTCCTGACTCTCCTCCTACCTATCCCAACGTTCCTTCAGCATTACCTATAATGCTACCACCTCCCCCTCTCTCCCCCTCTCTGTTGGGGTCCCCCAAGACTCTGTCCTCGGGCCCCTTCTCTTCTCCATCTACACCTCCTCCCTCGGCAAACCGATACACTCCCACGGCTTCAACTATCACCTCTACGCTGATGACACGCAAATTTACCTCTCCACCCCCACCTCACTCCTTCAGTCTCTGCCCGTATCACCCACCTGCTGAACGACATATCAGACTGGATGTCGCTCCATTTCCTCAAACTGAACCTTTCCAAAACCGAGCTCCTAATCTTCCCCCAGCCCGCACCCCCCCCACCCTCTCCATCATGACCAACAATGCCACCATCAGTCCCACCTCACAAGACAAAGTCCTAGGTGTCACTCTAGACTCAAACCTGTCCTTCCAAACCCATGTCCAATCGTTGGCAAACTCATGCAGACTCCACCTCCGCAACATCTCCAAAATACGTCCGTTCCTAACCACTAACCAGACACTACTAAACAACTCGTTCACTCCCTCATTAATTCACGTTTTGACTACTGCAACTCCCTTCTCACCGGCCTACCTCATCACAGACTATCCCTGCTTCAGTCCATCCTGAACTCAGCGGCAAAGACTCATCCACCTTACCAACCGCTCCTCTTCTGCCACCCCCTTCTGTCATTCCCTCCACTGGCTCCCGATTGCCCAACGCATTAAATTCAAACTACTAACACTGACATACAAAGCCATTCACAACACTGCCCCAAACTATCTCACCGACCTGATACCCAAATACCACCCAACCCGTAATCTTCGCTCCTCACAAGACCTCCTACTTTCTAGCTCCCTGGTCTCCACCTCCCACGCCCGATTGCAGGACTTCTCTAGGACTTCCCCCAATCTCTGGAACTCACTACCCCAATCCATCAGACTGTCACCTACCCTCCTCACCTTTAGGCGCACCCTGAAAACCCATCTCTTCAGGGAAGCCTACCCCACCCTCACCTAAAAGCCGATCTCCACTCCTACCACTCCATCCCCCACAGCCACTTCCTCCTGTACCACTTTCCCCTCCCTCCTAGATTGTAAGCTCGAAAGAGCAGGGCCCTTGAACACCTCGTGTATTGTTTTGTTACTGTATTGTCTCTTGTTCTGTCCCCCACTATAATGTACAGTGCTGAGCAAACCTTTCTGGTGCTATATAAATACTGTATAATAATAATAATGAGCTGCCTTATCACATTATAATGGGCTAAAATCACCAAAGATGGTCAAAATGGATAATGGACTAAAATCCTAAAAGAACCAGTGCCTCATATCCATACTCCTGAAGAAAATAGAATCTGGCAGGGGTTCTCACCCTTCAACATTCTATCTAGAACTAAAATTAAATTTTGCCTGCATATACTGTATACTTTAAGTGAACTTATAGCGGTTGTAATGAATGCCTACAGTGGTGCGCTGTCACCACTGACAGGGATTCCATCCTTCCTTGATCTTCCTTTCGGGTTCACAGGCTCCGGTCGTTTGAATATGCCAAGCAGTGATGACATCACAAGTGCGTATGCATGCGGGAGTCATGGCCATGGCTCAGCTCTCTCCATAGATGGCATACCATCCATTAAGAGCACAGTGTGCATGAGCTGGTGACATCACTGGCTGCTACACATTGAAATATCTCCTAAACAGTGGACATTTAGGAGATATTCACTGTACCTATAGGTAGGTCTTATTATAGTCTTACCTGTAGGTACAAGAGGAAAAATCAGAGTTTACTACTGCCTTAACCAGTTCCGTGACAACCTATAGCAGAAATACTGCTACAGGGCAGCACGTGTATATATTCATGATTTTACAGTCCTGGGTAGGCTGCCCATGCTGCCATTTGTGGCCTCGGCTGTCAATCACCGGGTCCCGGCCAGTGATTACTCGCAGGCACCCGGTGATCGCCGAGTATCTCTGATGGGGCAGAGACCTGTATGTAAACGATACAGATCTCTCCCCTGTCAGCTCCTGCACACTGCTTTGTATATATCTGCATAGCAGAGCCATACAAAGTAGTGTGCTTACAGTAAAGCACACACAAAGCCCAAGTAGTGAAACAGCACACAGCACAGAGTTAACCCTTTGATCGCCCCACATGTTAACCCCTTCCCGCCCAGTCCCCTTAATACAGTGTCAGTGCTTTTATTAGCACTGATCACTGTACTGGTGTCACTGGGGATGTCAGTGATACCAATCAGTTCCCCCCAGTATCAGAATGCCCGCTGCAGTCCCGCAGTCCTGCAGTCGCCACCATTACTAGTGAAAATGAAAAATCCCAGTATATATACTGCCATTTGTAAACGCTGCAACTTTCATGTAAACCAATCAATTTACATGTATTAGGATTTTTTTAGCAAAGACATGTAGCAGAATACATTTTGGCCTAAATTTATGACGAAATTTGATTTTTAGAATTTTTTTACTGGACATGTTTAACAGCAAAAATTGAAAAATATTGTTTTTTTCTCAAAATTTTTATTTATAGAGCAAAAAATAAAAAACACACAGGTAATCAAATACCACCGAAAGAAAGCTCTACTTTTGGGACAAAAGGACATAAATTTAATTTGGGTGCAGTGTTGCATGACCGCGCAATTGTCAGTTAAAGTAATGCAGCGCCGTATTGCAAAATATGGCCTAGTCAGGAAGGTAGGTAAATCCTCTGGAGGGCAAGTGGTTAAATAGGCAAAATACAGGTTTACTTTAAGGGCTGGTTTACATTTTCTGCACAGTAAAATGCCTTGTTTTACTAAGCAGGAAGTCTCAGATCTAGCCAGTGGTCTGGCTGGGGGCGCCTTGTGCTTTCCTTTTTTTAACTTTAAAGAAATGTCACATTTATTTGTATGCACAACATCTCAGCTGCAGTCCAGACAACAGCAGATAGAAACAAATCTGTGAGCGAACTGCGGTGTGAAAAATTGCACATTTCCATCACCTTAAGGCTGTGTTCAAGTGTGATCAGTTGTTTCCTGCTTGCCCATGCAGAGGTTGGTGGGTTTTTATAGTGCAGAAAACCGCTGATCCCTTCACAAATATGCATGGGCCCTAAGATGTTTTGACACTGGTAAAATGATTATTTAGCTAAAGTATTGAATTTTGGGAGAGGACATGAATGAGGTTATCTAACATCTACCTATATTTTCAAATGAATATGTCATTGCAGCAGACATGTGTGGAGTCAGCCTTAGTAGGGTTGTTTTTTGATAATGACAACATGGACCATGCCTGCATAATGTATGTTGAAACAGCCACTTGTATTCTCCATTGTAGGTCTGTGTAACAGGGTAACAACACAACTGGGAACCAAGGACAGAGCTTCCCACAATAGGAAGTGCCTGAACAAGGACCTTCATGGCAGAATCACCAAGTACAATGTTAATGAAAACTGCAGTTTGTTTATAAACATTGAACATTCTTTTTAAATTTACATGTTAGATATTTCGTGCAGTTTTAATTATTGGGTTACATGTTTTTTTAGTGTTTGCTGTATTTTTTTCAAGTGAATACAATTCAATAACTTTTAAAAGCTTTTTAACCTCAAAAACTCCTCAGAGCAAAATATAAGCTCTGTATACCTTTTGTGTATGCTGTAGAAGACAAACATGTCATTATCCATCATTATCTTTAATAGTAATCCCTTTGTACTATAGATTCAGCAGTCACTTTAGGTAAAACTCTCTCTTCCTTCTTAGAATAACTTTAAATGTATCAATTGTCATTATAATTTATTATGTTGGCATCATGCATTGTTTAGCATTATGTGTACATACTGTTGGCATTATATCATCACTGTAAGCGTGCTCTGTTATTTTGAGATTCTTCCCACCCTGGGTGTAACATAAAAGCCTTTGGGTGTAGTTACATAATTAACTACAATTGTATTTTGTTCTTCATTACAGAAAAATGTTTTGTTTGCAACTTTCCCTTACGACTACAATAGCTCTATTACTGAGTGTCTAATAAGTGCTTTAATCCTGGAAAATGAAAGAGATACTATTTTTCCCACATTGTCTATTTATATTGTGCTTTAAACTGATTTCACACTCTCAGAACCTCTACTGAAATATGCAATTATTTCATAAAAATAGTACAATACACAATAAATATAGACCTGGGTTTGATATGATACTACATTTTTAATAAAAAAATCCGCTGATCCCCTGCTGATGCTGGGTGGATGACACATCTCTCTCGCTCTGCTTTTTGAGTGACCAGGAGTAAATGGACTTCACTGTCCACCCGTCTACCTCCAATCCACTCTGCCTAAATGGAAGGGGACAGAATCCTCTCCCATTTTTTTAGCAGGCCTGATTGGACCTGGAGGTAGGTGGGTGTAAGCAGACACAAGCCCTTTTACACACACCTGTCCATAGGGATGAATGGACCTTCTGATCAGGTCCGCCTGAAAAACTGACAGGTCGTCCTGATCGGAACACCCATCTAAAAGGGGTCTAAAGTCTTAAAATAAGTGTGTTCCTTAAAGCCTTTATCCAGGCAATGCTCCTCCTATCAGCTTGTTCCTTGCTTGCGCATACTGTTCTGTGTACTGTGGGATTTTTTTTCTCTTTCACTTTCGATGATGAGGGTAAACAGGACAGATAGGATGATTTGTTTTGCCTTTAGTCACACTTTACATTAGAGGAGAAGTATGAAGGCAGTTGATAAGTGTCTATATACACTATATTGCAAAAGTATTGGGGCGCCTACCTTTACAATCACACAGGGTCGATGCTTCCACTAGGCAAACTAGGCGGCTACCTAGGGCGCACTGCCACCGAGGGGTGCCTGGGCACATCGCAGGCCGTCACTCTCTCTGTGTGGGATGCCACCATGTCATGAAAGATCCTCCAGCTGAGAGGAGGGGCGGCAGAGGGGAGGAAGTAAGGACAGAGGAAGATACCAGGTGTCTGGGGCAAGTGTAGCAGCTGAGCTGCTGCTCCTTCCAGTGTTCCTCTCAGACTCAATCCCTTAGTGCAAGCTGGCAGGCGGTTGCTGATCACTGTGGAGTTCTAGACCTTCTCTTCCCATTCATCAGCAGAGGCAGAGCTGCGCCTGCGAAGGAAGGTAATGTGTGACTCTGATGTCACGTGTGACCAGCTGGCCGGCCATCCATCACATGTGCAATGTATCAGTGAGTGATCCTAAAGCCTGCTCTTCTAGTGCCTGCTGATCTGTGTCAGTGTTGGTGATGGTGTGTTGTGTCAGATCTGTCACTGTGTGGGATCGCTCAGTTCAGGTGTTTTCTCTGTGGATGGGCTGCCTGCTGTTACAGCGTTTTACCTACCCCATTGCCTGGGGAATTCCAGACTGGGATCTGTCAGAGTGTGCATCCATCATCCTCTATACAGTCCGTTGGTGACACTGATTTTGTCTTTAATATTGGTGCTGGTGGCATCTTATGGCACTTATTTTTGCATATTAAAAGAAATGTAGCAGTTTCATGTTATGTTGATTTAATATTTTCTACTGGTTTTTGATTTTTCTATTTTTTTTTTTTTGGGTGGGGGGGCAAGTAGCTGGTCTTGCCTAGGGCACAGAATAGTCTAGCACCGGCCCTGCATGCACGTGAGCTTTAACCCCCCGGTGGTATTCCCGAGTGTAGCTCGGGGTTACATTTCAGTACCAGAAGCAGTAACACTGAGCTACACTCGGGATTACACTGCAGCGTTGCTCTGGGATTCCTCGAGCACTTACCTTGTCCTGCGGTCCCGTGATGTCCCACCTGCAGCGTCCCCGGACATGTTCTCCGGCCGATGCCGGCATCCATCTTCCGGGTTCCGTTCCCTGCGTGCGTCAGGACATACGGGACGTATGGGGGACAGAACCGGAGGGAATTTCAAAAATGTAAAAATATGACATTCACTCAATACACTAAAATCTGATAGTATTACATTACTGTATCAAACCATGTCATATACATTTTGTCCCTAATGCTTTGTCCTGTGCCCTGTCTGCATTTTTATCGTTCTTTCTGTCTGGAAACTGAGAAACGTCCATGGCATCCAAAAAGCGGTTTTAGACCAGCTAGAAAACAGCGATAGTAAATTAGAACCACTTGCAGAATTGAATGATAATGATTTGTGGCTAAATTCGCCATCAGACACTGAGAACAATTTTGCAACTGAGCTCAGTGATGTGCTCTATTTCAAATTTCAGTGTCTTTGGTTTGATTACATTATTTAATTAAATTTATTATTATATTATTATTTTTTATGATTATTTATTATATTATAATTTATGATTTCGTGTTTCAAATTTTATCATACCTGGGATGTTTACTAGACTCTTGTTTGGACAGATTTCAGTGAGTTATTCCTAAGAATTACAGGCCTACAATAAAAAAAAACATATTTCCATTGAAAACAATGTACCATTTTGAGCATAGAAATACTGACATAATCAGACTGCTATGGAAGTTAATGGCATCCCAGTCTTAGTCCGTAGGGTTCAATATTCAGTTGGCCCACCCTTTGCAGCTATAACAGCTTCAACACTTCTTGGGAAGGCTGTCCACAAGGTGTGTGTCTATGGGAATGTTTGACCATTCTTCCAGAAGCGCATTTGTGAGGCCAGTCACTGATGTTGGACAAGAAGGCCTGGCTCGGAATCTAATTTATTCCAAAAGTGTTTAATCGGTTTGAGGTCAGGAGTCTGTGGAGGACAGCCAAGTTCCTCGACCCCAAACTTGCTTATCCATGTCTTTATGGATCTTGCTTTGCGCACTAGTGTGCAGTCATGCTGGAACAGGAAGGGGCCATCTCCAAACTGTTCCCACAGAGTTAGGAGCATGAAATTGTCCAAAAAGTCTTGGTATGCTGACACCTTAAGTGTTCCCTTCATTGGAACTAAGGGGCCAAGCCCAACTCCTGAAAAACAACCCCACACCATAATGCCCCCTCCACCAAACTTCAAACTTTACACTTGGCACAATGCAATCAGTCAAGTACTGTTCTCCTGCCAACCGCCAAACCCAAACACGTCCATCGGATTGCCAGACAGAGAAGCGTGGTTCGTCACTCCAGAGAACATGTCTCCACTGCTCTAGAGTCCAGTGGCAGAGTGCTTTACACCACTGCATCCAACGTTTTGCATTACAC